AAATAAATAAATAAATAATTCATCTATTAAAGCTACCTTATTCATGAAATAGAGATATAACAACTAACAAATTAATCATTCCAATCAAATTCATGAATGAAACAAAATATAAAAAGAACTTGTCATAAAATTACATCAAATTCCATAAATAAATAGAAAGATAAGGTAAAGTTGAATACCGCAAAATCTTAACCGAAGCTCAATTAGAATACCCACAAATTTTTTGTAGGTGTGTGTGGTGCTATATGTATGGTGTTTATATGAAAATAATAATGAGAAAGGAAGAGGAATGTGAATGTTTTGGTGAATTTTTTAAAAGGATAATGAAATAAAATGGAAAGTTTTTATTTTTGTTTTCTTGAGTGTCGTTCCTTTTTTCTTCTTGCTCGTGTAGTATAGTATTGTTTTTTTCTCTCTGTGTTTTCTGATCCCTTCCCGCCTGGGTGTGTTGTGTCTGTTGATATAGTAGTAGTAGTATGTATGTGTTGTGTCGTGTGTGAAGTGTACTAGTGTGTGAGTTGGGTAAGTGGGGTAGTGGGTAGAGTGGGGGTAATGGGAGATGAGTATACACTACAAAAAAAACGGTGTTTACCGACGGGAAAAATCCGTCACTATCCATTGAAAATCCGTCACTAAACATGATTAGTGATGGATTAGCAACGGATTATTGATTGTTGCTATTACGCTCGTTAATAAGCTCTTAGTGACGAAAATATGAGTTCCGTCACTAGTTTAGTGACGTCATAGTGACGAAATATTTCCGTCGCCACTAGTTAGCAATGGACATAGTCATCATTATATTTATACAATTTTGTTGCTAATTTCATAATTCTAGGACGAAAAATGAGTTCCGTCACATGTTTAGCGACGTAATAGTGACGAAATATTTTCGTCGCCATTGTTAGTTACGGACATAGTCGTCATTATATTTATATAGTTTTGTTGCTAATTTCATAATTCATTTCGTCATTTTGGATAAATTTGTGACAAAATTTCCGTTGCAACATATTCTGTCTCAACATATTAGGCCTTCGATAATCCGTCGCTAATCCGTCGCCAACATTCTTTACATAGAAACGACCAAATAGTCGCTAAATTTGTTGCTACATACATTTGGTTAAAATATATAAAGAAAACTATCAAGTACTCTTAAATGAACCTACATTCATCAAAATGTTACTGCACGATTCGTAGTTTCCAAAAAACATGACAATATCAAAAACTAAAGTTGCGGGAGACTAAGGGATACGATCGTCACTTGAAATTGAGGGATCAACCTCATCCACATTAGTAGTAGGAGACACTATGGGTGTCACAAGTGATGGGTTGCCAGAGGGATCAGTAATCGCTGCTTGCACCTGCTCAACAATAATAGGAATAAGATGACTAGTAAGTGTAGGCACCATTTGCTTTACAACTCATCCATTTTTGTTGTCGATGTTGATTGAGAAAATGGAGGTGGTAATGATGATGAGCCACAATGATTCTGCCCATAGTAATTTTGTGCTTCAAATCCAAGACCATATATTCTTTTTTGTTTTCTCCTTACGCAGCTTGGTAATATGCTTTACATTGATCAATATCAGTTTGAGACACAATTTTTTCCCGTAATATTTCTTCATATTTTTCCTATAGTAAGTAGAGGAAATGAGAAAGCATTAAAGATAGGGAACAAAACAAATTTTGAAGGAAAATGCAGAAAGATGCATAAGCTTTTAAGCTTAAATGCAGTGTACATTTTTCAACCATATGATAAAAAACAAGACAAGAGGTCTCAAGACCCCCCAAAAGACACACACAAAACAGGACAAGAGGTCTCAAGACCCCCCAAAACACATACACAAAAACATTTTACATATGATAAAAAAAATCAAGGAATCAAGTTACAGGGAACTACTCTTATGATGCACAATCCTCAAATTTCTCATTTGGGATTCAGGACAACCCAATGGTGTCTACTCCAACTCCCATTCAAATTGAACTGCGAAAGGAACCTGCAAGCACTCACACTATGGTCGAAAGAACCCAGCCTACTCTAAGATTGGTGTTATGAATTAAATGATGCATGCAACTTATGCAACTTATAGAAATGCCAATTCACATAGGATGAGAGCCCAGGAAAAATCTAGATTTATACATTCATTGATTGAAATTTGAAAAAGAGGGGAGGGTCGAGAGCTACAGAAGAAAAGAAAAGAAACAAGACGTTTGAAACCTGATTGACCAAGGTACGAAACCATCACTTTCACTGCAAGCTTTAACTTGATGCTAACTACTTTTTCTTCTTACTACCACTAGCCTTTGATTTCTTGTTAGCAGATCCTTTCTCAGTTGTGTGAGCTGTTTCCTATCTTTTAAGTGGAGTGGATGTGCTAACTGGAGCAACTCCTTTCTATTGCCTTTGTAATTCTATCAATGTTGAATCCATTTTCCTTTAACAGAAAGTTAACTCAATCCCTGAACCAGCTTCCTATACGATTATTCAATCATATGTTGCTCGTCTAAGGCACAATAAGTCCAAAAATGATATTCCTATTGAGTTTACTAGCCCTGTTAACACCACTAAACAGGGGCTGCCAGTAGTGGTATTTTAGAAAGATGATTACATGGTCAAGATGGCAGCCAAATGTAAGTTTACTCTTGTTGGATAATGACTTACACCTGAATTACACTAAAATTGCACCAAAAAAAGCCTCAAGCAACACCTAAATTACCCTGAAGCAGCATCAGATTCACTCTAAAACAGGACTGAAATTGCACCAAAAACAAATGCACTAGAGTCACACTAAAACAACACTAGAATCGCACTAAAACAACACTAAAATTGCAGCAGAAAAGCATTAAAACAACACCTGCATTATATCAAAAAAGCAGCAACAAATACACTCTAAAACACGACTAGAATTGCACATAAAACAACTGCACTAGAGTCACACTAAAACAACACTAGAATCGCACTAAAACAACACTAAAATTGCAGCAGAAAAGCATTAAAACAACACCTGCATTATATCAAAAAAGCAGCAACAAATACACTCTAAAACACGACTAGAATTGCACATAAAACAACTGCACTAGAGTCACACTAAAACAACACTAGAATCGCACTAAAACAACACTAAAATTGCAGCAGAAAAGCATTAAAACAACACCTGCATTATAGCAAAAAAGCAGCAACAAATACGCTCTAAAACACGACTAGAATTGCATAAAAAACAACTACACTAGAGTCATTATAAACCAGAAGTAGGATCGCGCTAAAACAACACTAAAATTGCAGCGAACAAGCATCAAAACAACACCTGGATTATACAAAAACAACAGCAACTAATATGATTTTGAACCTATGAGACCTGACATTTAAATTTTTAGATAGGCTTTAAAGTTTGACTTACATAGACAATTCGAGAACGTTCACCAACAAATGATTTTCCATCATGACCATGTGTGTGAACGTGCAAATGTAACTCACTTGGTGTTGGATCTCTACCTTTTTCAATAACCTATAAAAAAGAAACCACTTAATTATTAGATATAATCATATTAAGTGCATATTTTGTGTTCAGATACAAACATATACCAGACAAGAAGATGTTAGTTAAAGAGTTCGTAAAATATATACTCACAGGTTTCTTGCGATATTCTCCAATTGAGATAGAGCCGCCCGTGTGAGTCCCAACAACAACTTCACGGCCATCACGACGATTCTTTGCATTTATTTCTGCCTTCTTAATACACTCATCACTTCCCCAAACGTTGCATCCATCTTTCCCCACACATGTTCAGGTGCAAAATCTGGCCTAACTCCTCCCCCTTTTATTTTAGAAATGAAATTCCTGTATTTTACTCTTCACTTCATTTTCACTAATGGAAACATCCCAATACATTTTTTTCTGAAATAAATTTTGAAAGTAATACATTAACGTCCTGTCTATAAATGTGAATACACTTACTAAACTCACTAACGATGAAAAGCTATACCTTGAATTTTCCAAAATAAGCAGTTCTTACATCATTTGAGACACCTTTCCAATTGATTCCATTAGGATCAACTTCACTTTTGAAAGACTTGGATATGAAATTAGAGCATGGTTTAGATGGTTCCAACCCGTGTAAAGTCGAAGAGGTCATTAGGAGGGTTATCATAAATAAAAAATAATATTAGTATCTGACATTATATTTATCAGTGCTAACAGAATGAATAATCATATTACTGATAAGCTAGCAGTAAAATAGGCAAAAAAATAAGCTAGCAGTTATAAACTGATTTTCAGATCGCACATGATCTGGAAATTTTTTACTTGGAATTCTGCCCAGCAATTCTGCAAATTTTTAACTTGAAAAATCTGCAAATTTGACAGATGCATCACCTGAGAATCTTGCGTAGCAATTCTAATGTTCAGCACCTAGCAGATGCATCACCTAACTAAGAATAAAATTTTAAGGGTGCATACATGGATGTACTAAGAGCAGATGGTATTACAATGAATAAGTAACAACAACTAGCCTGCAACTTGAAGTGTATATAAAGAGTATTCTAGGCAGCAAGACAATCAATGACAAAGGCTACATGCTACAACCCTGAATATTCAATGAAATTCACACCAATCTCTTTCATAGTTTCTTACTATCGTAAAGAAAGATCAGTTCATTCTAACAGAAGCAACACATAATAAACATTTGTTGTTCAAATAGATTGAGTTCATAAACATTCCAACAGAAGCAACACAAAATAATTCTCAGCACGTCACTACGACTCTTGACAAAAATCCTAAATGTACACCTATAGATTGAGTTTAAAATTTTCATTTACAGTAGGTAAACTGAAGCTGCTGCAAATGTCGTCTGAAGTGTGCATTTTGAGCTTCTAGCTTGAAAGCTTAACCAATTCCTTCAAAAGCAGTATGGTCCATGTAAAGCCAAATAGAATACAAATACACTTTAAAAATAGGTACAAATACACTTCAAAAATAGGCTGCCGCAACTAAAGGGTGGAGAAATGACATGATATTAGAAACAATATTTCTTTGTTAGAAAATTAGGGAAGAAGCCTAAGTAGAAAGACAAGGGTAAGTAGAAACAAGTTAGAATAAAAGCAAAAGAATGGACTAACCCTGCATGAGTTATAAAGACAAGGGTCCGTGTATGGCTATTACCTGTTGGGCTACCCTGAGGAGACAGACCCTGACCTATTACATTACTCTAGTTTGGTGTAGCAGCAACTGTGTTGGTATGATCTATTGGGTTACTGTGAGAAGACATACCCTGACCTATTACGTTACTCTGATTTGGTGTAGCAGCAACTGTGTTGGTATGATCTATTGGGTTACTGTGAGAAGACATACCCTGACCTATTACGTTACTCTGATTTGGTGTAGCAGCAACTGTGTTGGTATGATCTATTGGGTTACTGTGAGAAGACATACCCTGACCTATTACGTTACTCTGATTTGGTGTAGCAGCAACTGTGTTGGTATGATCTGATGGGTTGTTCTGAGTAGACAGACCCTGACCTATTAGGTTATTCTGATTTTGTGTAGCTGGAGGTGCCTCAGAGATGGTTGTACTGATACTTTGAGTTGACGTTACAATGTATGGGGTACCACCTTGTTGAGGAGAAACTATAGTGGGCATGGGAATAGTTGGCATGCTTACACGAATAGCAAGATTACTCTTACCTGAGGATTTGCCACGACCTCTGCCTCGAGCCATATCTGTAAACAAATATAAAATATATATTGTTGTTAGATCATGACTGTTACAAAATAGAATAAAACATTATCCATAATAATGAGAACTATTACAGTAACAGAAAGTAGAGTGAAACACTTATCACAATCAGTAAATAACTGTAAGTAATTCTAATAAGGAATCCTCTATATTAACTGTAAGTAATTCTAATAAATGCATAGTTAACTAGAATGTATAACAATTATTAAAGCTGCAATTAGTAGATTTAATTAAGAGTTAGAATAAGAAATAGAATACACATAGTTAAAAGCAGAAACTAAAGAACATTATCCTAAATTAAAAATCAGAAACAAAGAAAATACATTGAAGATACAATAGTAGATTATCAAGCACTAGTCACTATTTATGTCTTCTTCAAACTCTTCCTCTTCATCATTTTCAGGACATTCAATCTTACTTCAAGCTAAACGAAATGGAAAGAATTCATAGTTAAAATATAATATTTTCATAACACCCAAACGACTAAAATCTCTATTTTTAGTGGTCGACTGAAATGATTCCTAGTTAGGGTTCATATTATGCAACTGAAAAACAATGGTATGTCGAGTTGAAACTGGAAAACAATGGTATGTCGAGTTAATCTGATATCCTAATACAGGAATCTGACCGAAATTCCTAGTGGGGGTTCCTATTTTTCAAAGAGAAAGAGTTGAAAGTCATCAAAATCGAAGCTGGCCTAGATGTGGAAATACTGCAAATTGGAGCTAGGGTTTTGATTTTATAACTGGTTCTTGATAAACCTAGCTTGGGAAATTGATTCCCCTTGATGTCTGAACCAACAAATCCATTTGGGGAAACTGAAGCTTTGTAATCGAAAATGGAGTTTGAGCGCGTACCTTTCCAGATGGAGACTTGCTTCAGAGCTTCGAGATGGAGACTTGCTTCAGAACTTCGAGATGGAGACTTGCTTCAGAGCTTCGAGATGGAGACTTGCTTCAGAACTTCGAGATGGAGACTTGCTTCAGAGCTTCGAGATGGAGACTTGCTTCAGAACTTCGAGATGGAGACTTGCTTCAGAGCTTCGAGATGGAGACTTGCTTCAGAACTTCGAGATGGAGACTTGCTTCAGAGCTTCGAGATGGAGACTTGCTTCAGAACTTCGAGATGGAGACTTGCTTCAGAGCTTCGAGTGTTACCAGCTTCGAGATGGAGTTTGAAATCGAAATGGAGTTTCAGAGATGGAGGGCTTGGAGTTTCAGAGCTTCATCTCTGAAAAGTGTAAGTGTGAGTGTGAATATCTTGTGCCCTAAGAAAATATCACTTTAAAAAAAATTCCAACGGAATTTGTGATGGATTATGACATCCGTCACTTTCAAATAAATATATATATTTAGAAAATATTATATTGACGGATATTTTTGTCACTATATAATATAAATTTTATAAAAATATATATAAAAGTTTAGCGACCTTTTTTTCCTCACTAATTCCGTCGCAAAATATTAATTTAATTTGTCACCCTTATTTTGTTACTAAATCCGTAGGAAAATTTAGGCGCCAAAATTTCGCGCTAATATTTAGCGACGAATTAAATATTCCATTGCAAATTCGTCGCTATATTATAAATCAAAAAACTCAATTGTTAATTTTGCAACAAAATGGTAATTTCATCGCAAATCCGTCGTAATATAGTGACGGAATGTAGTTCGTTGCAAATATCCGTCGCTAAACGCTGTTTTTTTAGTAGTGGTAGGTTATTTTTATTTTTTGTTGTTAATAAATAAAAATATAATAATAATAATAATAACTAATTATTTTGGAATTAATAAAAATATAAAAAATTAAATAGCTAGATCAAAAAATATAATTAAGAAAATATTAAAATTACTAATTTATTTACTAAATTTTGGATAAATTAAAAACAAAATTGTACCTTAAAGTGTGACTCTAATTTTTTGTTATTCTCAAAATCTTTTTAAAATAAACTTAATAAAATAAGATAAAAATCATAATACATAATTTAAATTTATAAAATAGTTAAGCTCTAAAAATGGTGGTAAAAGTTTAGGTTCGGTCAAAAATTACGTGTCTACAGTTTGCCCCTCTTTGACTGAAAACACGAAGTGTTTGTCAGACAAAGAAGTAGACAAGTTTTGACCGGAATCTTATTTGAAAAGAGAAATTTGTGTGACCGAGTCTTGGTTTTGGACATCCTACATATCCCGGGCTCAAAGGGAATCAAGCCACGTGTAGTTCAAGGAGATGAGGTGATGAGTTGGAAGTTAAGTGAGGTTCCATCGAGTCTCCAGGTCGCGGCTCCTATCCTTACATAAAAAAAATGAAAGTCAAAATAAAAGTACAAGTTCCTATCTATGCAGCTTCTCTTGAATCTTCACTTGAGTCTTGAATTTGAGATACCACCTTGATTTTGGTGAGTATCTTGATCTTAAATGGATTTGACGTTTAACTTGCCACTTAGAATGAGTTTTTGGCACTCTTCAAAAACGACAATTTGAATAAGTCTTGAATGACTGCTGTTTTGTTGATCAGTAGCTGAATAGAAGTGGGTGTGAGGAGGTCAGGATGCTACATGCATTGAAGAAGCTAATTCTGGCTATCATGGGATTGATCATTCTGAAAAGAGTTGAAACTTTGTTCTTGAATTTCAAATCCATGTTTCGCTTGAAGAAACCTGAAAACCATCATAAACAAAAGAATTAAACAAAATTTTTGCCCCAGTTTTCACTGGAAAATTTTTGTGAGTTAATAGCAAATGTAAATTTCAAAAATAAACTCAGACTAGGAAATGTTTATCCTAGGAGAAAAAATAATGTCTCCGAGTAGGAAGTGTTTACCTAGGAGAAAATAAAACATAATGATCCTAGACTAGGAAGTGTTTATCCTAGGAGAAAAAATAATGTCTCCGAGTAGGAAGTGTTTACCTAGGAGAAAATAAAACATAATGATCCTAGACTAGGAAGTGTTTATCCTAGGAGAAAAAATAATGTCTCCGAGTAGGAAGTGTTTACCTAGGAGAAAATAAAACATAATGATCCTAGACTAGGAAGTGTTTATCCTAGGAGAAAAAATAAAAAAAATAATGTTTCATGTTAGGAGGGTCCTGCTAATCCCATTGTGTAGGAGGGTCCTGTTACTCTAATTCCCATTATGTAGGAGGGTCATGTTAATCCCATTATGTAGGAGGGTCCTGCTAATCTAAATCACATTATGTAGGAAGGCCCTGCTAATCTAGATCCCATTGTGTAGGAGGGTCCTGCTAATCCCATTATGTAGGAGGGTCCTGCTACTCTAATTCCCATTATGTAAGAGGGTCATGCTAATCTAAATCTCATTATGTATGAGGGTCCTGCTAATCCCATTATGTAGGAGGGTCCCGCTACTCTAATTCCCATTATGTAGGAGTGTCCTGCTAATCTAAATCTCATTATGTAGGAGGGTCCTGCTAATCCCATTAGGTAGGAG